TTCAGAGTGAGTGTGTTGTCACGATGTTTTCTGCCCAGCCATGGCGATAACGCTTTAAGGCTGGGGACATCCCGGAGCGTTGCTTCCACATGCGCTTTCATAAAATCTTCAGCTGCGGAATCTGTCGGCTGGAAGAGCAGGCTGTTACGGGATTTATGCTCAATAAAATACCCGACCACGCCCAGCAGCATTTTGGTGTAACCCACACGCGCCGATTTAATCAGATTAACAGTGCGGATCCTGGTCGTGCCCCATGCTGTTCATAATGGCGACCTGGAACGGCAGTGTTTTCCATTCCCCATCACCGTATGACGATTCTTTAGGCAGATAATAATTTTGATCAGCCCATTCAACTGCCGTCATCGGTACAACCCTGACCAGAGGCTGCAGCGCAACTGAAACAGCAGCCATCATATTATTCAGCTGTAGTTCGGATATATTCATCGAGTAACTCCGGCAATTTATCCCCTGTCCGCGCACACTGATTCGCGCCTTTTGCGATAAGGGTTTTCAGATAATCGATATGACGCGGGGTTAAATCCGGGAACTGTCGCTGCATGGATAAAGGAATGGAATCAAGCGTACTGGACAATGCCATCGCCAGTTTGCTGAGAGCGAAAACGCAGAACCCAGAATCAATGAGCTTGCCTTCGGTTACCTGATTTTTTAATTGCTGTGCTATTGCCTGTTCTTCAGTCAATTTCCATCTGGCGATAAGTAATTTTTCTTCGTAATCGCTATTTCCATCGTCATCAGTATCGCTTCTTCCTTTGCGTATACGGTATGAAATATAAAAATATCGCCAGGCATCAATATCGTATTCACCACGCTTTCGATTTTTTGGCGCTCCCGGGTGCTTCTGAAGATCCCGCAACCAGCGTTCAGTTATACCAAGATGCTCGGCTACCTCCGCCTGCGTTGCCATACACCCTCTTTAGCTGTTCACTTTACACTCAACTCCGTTTTTGCCGCTATTTTCCCACAAACTGGTCGGACTTCCGGTTTTCTTGATAACTAAAAACAATCTAATCAATTGGTTAGATAATTAAAAAACCGGAAGTGGAACTCGAAAAATTTTCATAAATAGCGCGTTTTTGCGCGTCCTACGACCCCCGGTGTTTCAGATTCCGGAAAGGACCCGCGCAAATGAGAGCATTTATCATTAACATTTACAGATAAGATGACGTACATCATTGAAACGCCATTCAGCCATATACCTGCAGCATTTGTAGTTGCACTCCGCAACTCTGCGACTACGGTTATAAAAGCATTGGCAACTTTTGCCACCGGCAAATCTTCAATGGATTTCCCCTGCCGGTTTTTTATTTTCGTCGATACATAACATTGCATTTACATCAATAGCAGCTATTGTCATTAGTATGTTGTATCAATGCATGGGTGGTATTGGCGGTCTTCGCCGGCCGGTTCTGTGTAGCTGTTCCCTGTGACCGGTTTTTTATTTCTCACATTATCGCAGCCCCTCGCTGAAGGGCTGCTGTAATGTCTGTTACTCTGTAACAACCGCACCTTCCGGCAATTTCATACCAGCAAATACCGGACAGCCAGGATGGCGATCATCTTCCGTTGCTTCCAGCATTGACTCACCAAACCACTCCGTCGTGGCGCGACCATCAGCTGCTTTTTAGTGGATCAAGTACTGGTTTTCGCCATCCGCATACTGCGCGCGGGCTTTAACCTCCCCTCATTCATCACTGATGCGCATCTCCACCAGTTGAGACAACTCAAACTTAAACGGAGCAGCATCAGCACCAATTACAATCGGTTTGTTTTCTGTTTTTTCCATCATCGTCTCCTGATATCGAAGCCCGTCGCCGCACCGGGCGCTGATCAACATTTGAGTATTCGCGGCGACAGAAAGAATTTATTTTATTGAGTAGCCACACGCACAGAATTTCATGCTTTCCAGACGCCAGCGCATCCTTCATTTTTCAGCAAAATATTCTGCTCTTACAGGCGATCAGTTCTGCATACACTGCCGAACACCGTCGACAATTTCACAGACCTGAGAAGGCTGTATCGAAAAGCTGGCGCGCCTTATCCAGGCTGACGCATCCCACCAGGAAAAAAGGCACCAGTATCGCTACCAGTGCCCATTTCACCGCCGTTCGAGGCATTCTGTGTGTCCAGTGTTTTCGGCTCATGTCACCACCAACGCACAGCCCAAATCAGAACAGCGACCGCCACAAGGCGAATTGCAAAGGCCGCAGCCCTTGTCAAATCAAGGCTCGCGGGAGTTTCCACTTCAATACCTTTCATAATGGACAACCTCAAAAAGAATCTTTTATACTTTCCCACGAGGATTTTCTCCGTACTCACTACTCACAATTTCCTCTTTGACGTGAAAACTAAAAACCCCGGACTGTTCCAGCAGCCGGGGTTTTTGCTTTTTATTTACTGCCTTGGGTGCGGCATCTGGCTATTTCATTCCTGGCTTTACTGTCACCGCGACAGATACAACGCACCGTGTCTCCGGTCAGCGTGGTAATGTAAGCCTCATCCTCTTTTTCTACCGGAATACATGGAATATCCCCGCCCAGGCAATACTCAATTTTTGCTGCAAGATGAGTGTCACGCGGATAGAACTCCAGACGATACATA